TCTCTTTCTCTTTCTCTTTCTCTTTCTCTTTCTCTTTCTCTTTCTCTCTCTCTCTCTCTCTCCTAACCAGTTCCATCTTTGTTCCAACCCAGTGCATTATCAGGACTAAAGGGCAGCAATCTTTGTTGCATCAGTGTCAGGCATGTTTCCTGTTTTCGCCTTCTAATGCATGATGACGTGTCTCATTCCCGTCGTCACCCTGTAAATGTTGTCTCCCAAATACGCACATAAGCTTTGTATGGTTGTGTGCTGCGACATGTTGGGATCTGCTGCCTCATCAATGAAGAGCACACCAGGTACCAGTTCTGCGATTCCCTGATCTATATACCTCCGCAAAGCGCACGTTCCAAGCAAGGGGAAACATCCTGCGGAAGGAAAGCGCCCCCGTTCGATGCACTTCAGGTTTGCTTCTGTTTATCTGATCTTGGAATGGCGGCTGTCGTCTTCCTCAAGCCAAAGCGTGTCAGATTCGCCTGTTGACGACCTTATTGATCTCAAGCCGCAGCTTTTCGGTAATTTCCGTCTTTCGCGGCTTCAAAAAGCTTCCCATGAGACTCTGCAAATCCTGCGCTCACAGTGGGATAGGATAACACTGGTCAGAAGAGTGGACTTTGTGGCTCTTTTAAACTGTGTGACTTCTGGCTGTGTCCTGGCCCCCTTGAGGCTTTGCATTTGCCTGGTCCAAGTCATGCAAGGTTACATCCTGGCGAGCTTCACTGCATGGGATATTACGAAGTAAGAACTTCGACCTAGTCTGTGGCTTCAATTGTCACGTTGAATTCTGCATAATTTCTCATCAAAACTACTTCTCTCTTCTTCGACATGTCGGCTTTTACCTGTACAACTTCCTTCTTCTTGTGCACGTCGCCCTTGGGCACAGGCACGTACCTAACAGGATACTTAATTTCGCAGCTGTCAGGAGACTTTGATTGGCTGTTGTTGCAAGATCAGCGCACTCATCCGCTTCAAGATCGAATTCAGTAGCGTAGCTATCGCTTCGCCCCACCTTGGTGTACAGTGAAGTTACACCCAATTAGCGCATTCTCACCCAGGCCAGTATGAAAACATATCACATGTTGCACACATTTGTTACGACAGATCTGAAGGCCTTTGGGTGAGAACGATGGAATGTCACTTGGCAAAGAGCTGTGAGTCACACGGCAGACCGGCTAAGGCGGCTAAGGCCAGGACCCTTCGTGTGGCACCGCTGTTTGCTTCGATGTAGATTACATCGCCAACCTCGTTTGTCCAACTCTTTTTCTTTCTTGTTTTCTTTTTTTTGGGGGGTAGGCCGTAGAGGAAGGTAGCTAGAGGTACCAGCTACCTTTCTTAAGCTACTAGCATGGTCGCAGGATAGCTCACGCTTCTTCAAGGAAGCGCTCGCACTATTCATTTGGTTCCTAGATGTTGGGGAATTTTGGGGGACACTTAAGTTCTCCCAACTCAAGTACGCCAGCCAAGCCATCTGATGAAATCTCACTCACTCACGCATGCTCGTGAATAACATATCCGAGCCATTCACGGTGACCTTCTCTTTCTGAAGGCTTTCATAGATCTGTGGCGCCAACTTCAAGGTCTTTTGACCTTTCCTCAGCACGAGAAATATGATGCCTTTCACGAAACCAACTCAGGTAAGGTAAAGCTCTTCATTTGCTCAGTGCTTCGAGCTGAACACCACTGGGAATCCTCGCGTTGTTTTCAGCCCAATCATCACCTTGAAATGTCAAAAGCCCGACGCCACAGGAATTCGTACAAATACAGTAGTCATCTTCAATGCCACTAGGTTGCTGCAGTTACCTTCTTTCCATAACCACCAGTGGGATCAGGTCTCTCCTCCAATTGAAGTCACACAACACCTTGACAGCCAACCAAAGTCTAGACTCTAGACTGTATCACTGTCTCTCTTCCAACAAAATACAGAAGATGACTCCCGAAGTACGGAAGAAGGCGCAGCCATCCTCGGGTGTCAGTTCTGTCACCTCGCCCTCGTATACTTCCTTGGTCTCCTTTATTCGGATCCTGAGGCGTGCAGCTCAGCAGCTCAGTGCTGTGGAGAATTATGTAATATATATATAATATGTGTGTGTGAGCGTATGTGTTTGTTCATAAAGTTCTTGTAAAAATTCCAACACATTTGTGACTTTTGGCCCTCATGCAAGTTGCTATTGTGACCAAGTTTCCCAATGGCTCGACGGCAGTTCTCCATCAAGATTTCGGTCTTTTTCACCTGGAGTTGCAGGGTCGTCACAGATTGATTTCTTCCTGTTTTTGGACACATATTGCTGCTGCCTTTCAGTCAAGAGAACTTATATATTTGAAAGGTGAAGGTCCTGTTGGATCCTGTTGGTCAAATTTTGGGTACCTCTATGTGCTTCTCAAATCTCTCAGGTTTCTGTAGAGAAATACCTAGCTCAGCTGGCACACCTCAGAAGAGTAGACCTCGCTTCCGACCATCGGGCAGAAAGGCACCTGCAGGCAGGTCAGGCTGGACTTTTCTAGCGTAGAAAAGTCTTCGTGAGTTGAAGGAAAGGTGAAGAAAAATGCCAGTTGCTTCCTTTCAAACGAATTCAATGTGAGAGCTCAAGGAATACCAAAAGTGCGTGGAAATTTTGAAGTGGAACATTCTTTGTTCTTGAAAGTCTTTGGGCAACGCTCGAACTCCACAGCTTCACATCTGCGCCTTTGATCCCAGCTCTTGAGCAACAGCGAGAGCCAGGGCCTTCACGAACCATAAGAATGCATTCACTGGCTACGCATCACAATCTATTTGCCATATTATGTCTGTCAACCCCGATCATGGGTCAACACGCTCCCAGTGGGCCCAGAAGCAATGTTACGCCGCTGGGCTCTGCAGCTCTGCATTTGCCTCTTTTAAACTCTCTGATCTGAGCCAATTTGCATGCAACGTTTGGTTGTACCATTTGCATCAGATGGAGCACATATGTCGGTGATGATTCATTCTTGGGTTTAGAAGTTTGCCTGGTTGGATTTCTAAAATAGATTGTGTACTGTACTCCAGCTTTTGGGAACTGCACCTTTGCTCCAGTTTCTTGACCCCCTTAAGGCCGGCCACTGGTTTGATGCAGCGCATGCGCGCAGCTTCTCGGCTTGCAAATTGGAGTCTGCTACAGCGGAGTTGCCAGGACTGCACTAAAGCTGTGAGGTGATCAAACACGTCTTCTTTTCTAGAAGTACACGGTGAGTTATATCTTGATTGTTTGTTGCATGGACTCAAGTTTCCAGGTGCTATTCTGTCTTCAGGACTTTGAGGTCTCATACTGCACTGGCAGACCCACGTAAGTCACTTGTGAATGGATTGTTTGAAGAGCCAGTGATGTTGGGAATGCATGGATCATATGGAAGCATCAACAGCATTATGACATGCGACAGGTCTGTTTGTGCCGAACATTTGCATTTGTGTACTTCTGCGTAGCCCAGTAGCTGGTGTTGGCTGGTGTTAGCTGGGGTGGCAGTAACTCGTCTTAGCTCTGACGATATGATATGCCGATGTAGGATTTTGACATGCCCACAACGACAAACTGTCAGGTATTTGAGCAGCGCAGTCAACTGTTGCGCTTGCGGTAGCTCCATACACAATACGTGGAATGTGAAGAAGTTGACAGGATGAAGGAGGTAAGGTCCCAACTGTCTTGCCGGTGCCAGGAGCTCCAGCCATGAGAAGCGCCCTGTCAAACAGACGTGAGAGAGTTCCGAGAAAGGCGGCAATGTGCGAGTGCAGCAAAGAGAACTTGCATGACGTCAAGCTGTAGTTGGAATTGAAGAGAAACGAAAGGCTGGAAAGAGTTTGCCAGTGATTTCCCATGATACAATGGAGTAGACACAAATACAGCTTGTTGTGATGTGACAAGGACTCTCTGGACCGGCCTGCCCGCCATCTTCTTGGATTTGATTAGGTCTACTGTAATTCCGCATGCTTCCCGGGCCTTCTCTTGCCTTCGAAGCTGGCAAAACCCAAAAAGCATTCATTGTGTGTATCTATGCGTTCAAGTCAAGCATGAGTTCATTCATATCTTTCGCATCTTCAAGATAATCATACAAAAAGACAATAGCCGAGTCCCATGCCCAACGAGTCCAGATGCAACTGGCTGAGCTGCTCCATCCTGAATCGCATCATATCTCAAATGTTGTTCATCACTTTTTTGTCTCACACTCTCACTACAGGGTGGGTGTCAGTTTTATCATTCAAGTATCTGAAGTGTCACTTCACGGGCCCGTGCCTCGGCAAGCCCTAGGCCCTTGATATGGCTATGGGTCGCGATGCGCTGAGTTTTTGTCGTGGATTGCACCTGGCACAGCTGTGTTACTGCATGTCTTGTCCCTTTGCATGTGATTTCTTAGACCTTTAGAATTAGGCCTTTCTATTTCTGGTTGCAAATGTCTGTTTCTCGAATTGGAGGGAAACCATGATATTGGATGCAAACCACTGGTCATGTGAGTATATTGTGTCTAAGTCTGACTAAGATTGCTCCGCAACTAGGATACGAATGTGAATATAGATATGCTTTCAAAAATGTATAAATGAAATAGATATATATATATAGAGAGAGAGATAATCGAAAGCTGGTATGCCTCCTCGATCTTCATGGCTGCCGCGGGATTCGCCCACGCCACGGTTCCGTGGATCCCTTTTCTCCCACTTGAGAAAGCACAGATCGAACAACTTTGACTCCCGGTGACTGACTGAAGCTCGAAGCAGGATGTTTAGAGGAGACACATGAGTGCATCTAAGCAAGGCAACCTTCCGTCTGCTGCTGAACCATGCTGCATGGTATTTTTTGCTACGTACAAAACATAAACCATTTGCAGCCTTTACAGTTGCAAAGTTGCAAAAAGATACATTGAAAATGCTCTTCAAGCAGCCCAGGGCCTAGGACATCTGCATGTACGAGTACATACGTAAGTCCATGTAAACCTGGAAACAAGGTGTGGAGGAGTGATGCTTATCAGTGCGGGTTCCACAAGCAATCTAAGCAGTCCAAGAGAAAGTCCTTCATCGACATGCTGGGATGATGATTGAGGAAGTTTGGCGGGAGGACCACAGAATTCTATACTAGTGCAAAAAAATACTTGTCGCTGTTATCTCAGGCGTCTTGCCAACTGCTTCATTCAAGCAAGCAGTTACAGTTTGAGGCTGGATTGAACATGTGATTTGCAACAAAAAGGATCACATTGGGAAACAAACAAGGCACAGGGAGCACCATGAAACGCAGGAGCAAATGCAGAAGAAAAGATCTTGGAAAAGTGACAGGCGCTGCTGTAATGCCATGTACGCATTCGCATCTGTGCAAAAACTGTTCGACATGTCTGATCTATGACACGTTCTTTTCATTGATGCTTCAGAAAATCTCTGAGTCTGAGTCTTGCTCAGACCCAGCAGCCCGGAGCAATGCTTTGCATATGCTTCAGCTGCATGAAATGTGGACATCTCAGCTGCAAAAATGCTCTATCAACCGTTGTACCAGCATGCCACGCATTGAGAAGCGCAGATACCCTGGCAATTGTAGGTCTTGTCAATCAAAGCTGGATCATCTGCCACGGCCACCTTGAAATCAATGTCTTCAGGGCAAAAGTTCTGCGACTCCTCCAAGTCGTCGATGCTGCGACCAAGAACGAAAGGATATTGTTCAATGACTCTCTTCAAGGATCCGTCAGCCTTGCTGACCTCAAGATTTTCCACAAGCCAATCCATGACAGTGTTCATCACTTCATCGGAAGGGATGTTTGGCTTCCCCAAGAATTGCATATTCAGCCCTGTAGAGACTTTGGAGATGCAAATTTCAGCGCTCTGATCATCAAGGCCCAGGGTTGTCTTTAAATGGTTGGAGGCTCTGTTAAAGTCTTCAATCAGCTCCTGCTGGGATTTGCCACATCGTGTGGCCATCATAGGATCCTCCATAATCTGCTTTCGCATGTCAAACTCCTTCATCAAGCGCCACTTTCCAAGTCTTCTGATCATAGCGCTTTTCACACTAAAATTCTTCTTCACTCGATCCTTAAGACCATACATGCAGGTTTTCCCACGACCACGACCAATTCCGCTCAATCCCCAAGCCGCCAAGAAACATGGCAAGTAGTGAAGTCCATCACAGGTCGCTTTGACAGAGCTCCTCTTTGATGCTTTTGCAGTACTCGTCTTCGATACTTGACGGATCACAGGCGAGCTGGTGAAGGCCAACGCAACAGGAAAAATGGAGAAAAGCAACCAAATGCGCATGGTGTCACGGCGGGTGTTTTGCTGCTTGTAGGAGGTTTTGACAAATATGTAACTTGTGCGTGTTTTTGTGGGGGGTTCTCAAGCAATTGACTGACTTCCCGAATTATGCCTTGCGTCACTTTGTTGAACTCAAGCCTCCAGCTTTTTCTATGTGAAGAACGTTCTAGCGATGCTTGAGGTTGGAAAGTGTACAACAATCTCAAGAGTCAAGAGCAGCGATGCGCTGGTTGCTGGCCACCTGAAGTAAAGCAAACCTTTTCTACTATGACTACATCCACAAGTCGGTGACCGAAGTGTCCAAGAATTGGCCCAAAGCAGCGATGCCCTTTGCTCCTAGTAGTAAGGCCAGGAGCCCCTAGTAGCGTCCTTGCTCCTGGGCGATGCCCAAAGTGACATTGTGCTGTGTTCATTGGTGTTGTGGTGAAGTGGCTCTACTTGTCTATGCTGGTTATATACTTGTGATTAGGACTGTCTACATTACTGTGTCTGGAAATCTCTACTGCTCATGTCTCTGTAGAAATCTCTATTCTTCTGTATAAAGCTCCACGTTTCTGCGCTGGTCAATAGAAATCCCTACTTCTCGACACTTGTCTCTCGAAATTTCTATTTTTGTTGTTTTCTTGCTGTTCTCATTGCTTTTTTCTCGACATAGCTGACCTAGCTTGCCTTTTGATACTTTTCTTCTAGAATCCTCCAACGCTCTGCATGTCTCGTTGCGGCTGTAGATTGACTTTTCTAGCTTGGCTCCGGAAGCCTCTACTCTTCTAGACTTGTCTCTTGAAATCTCCAAAATAAGTGCGGCCCCAGAACCAATGCTATATAACCTGCCGCGCCCTGCAATGTGCTGTGACGCCCCGGTAACAGTCCCCAATGTAACTGCAACCACACGAGAAGCCAGCACAAACCTGAGGCAGCCATCACAGTGCTTTGAAACCCTGACTCACTGACTTGCACTACCCTGTGTCAACCGCTTGATGACTTTCACCAGCACTCCACGCAGCTTGCGACAATCACCCCCGGCGCCGAAACTCCGTGAGCTGAGTCTGTTCAACGTGTGCTTTTGCGAAGGCACCAGTTTGCCTTTTTTCTCATCCAAACTTTGCTCGAGTGGTGAGCCAAAAGTGAGGATGATGTGACCAGGTTTCTGAGCAATGACGTTGTCTTAGCTGAGGAGGAGTTTGCCCCCAATTTGGCTCAGAAGTTGTTTATTCACTAAAAGTCATTTGATTAAGTCTGTTTCCACCAAGTCAAGCAGGACATGACCACCAGAAAAGCTCACTGCAACCAAGGAAAGCTGGCAAGCGCTTTTTGTTCTGTCATTTTGCTTGGTAGATCCAGCTGTTCCCCACATGGCTTGTCCAAAGCTGTGCTCCACCAGAGATGCCTCTCACCTTGCAGATGGCGCTTACCAAAAAAGACTATTTGCAAATGACAGAGTTTCACAATACGCGTAATCCATGCTCTCAAGCTCAAACAACTGTGTGTAGCCAATGGGAGTATTGCTGACAAACCTGCCTCGTGCTGCGCCCACAAAAGGCACCCGAGATTCAAAGTCATTCCAGGGTGCCTGACAAAGAATTGATGCGGCCAAGGAAATCACAACTCTTTTACTCATTCAACTTTGAACCTCTCAAGGCATCACAAATAGTTTGAGTCTGTGATGCGTTCATCCCCTGGCACTCGCATAAGATATCCGGCCAATTCCCACTCACTGCGGCGTAGGATGTGGGACTGAGTCAACAACAAACATGAAATTGAAAGTACCGCCCACCGCCTCTGGGAACCAAAGTGGCAATGATTGCTACCACTGCTACCAATCTTTGGTTTGCCTCAGACTGTGGTGCAAAGACCGGTCGGATCTGCCAAAAGACTCGTCGGAAACTTTGTCAGGGAGTCAGCCTGTCAAGTGATCTACGGGGGTACGGGACAAACATCTCGAAGTTGCTCCATCCTGAAGGCTGAGATACAGCCGGCGCTGCAGCTGTGCTTGACTTGTACATGCCAACATTGGCATCTTTTTGCTTGATTGATTGAACCTACTTTAAATCAGGGAAAATGGAAGGAAGGTGTTTCCTGCAAATGTGGCAACTCCTGCCGATATCTTTTGAATTGATAGTGCATTTTCTGCTAGAATCTCAACGTAACACCCCCACAGAGGCCAAGCTGTTTGATGTATAGCTATGTTCAAGGTGGCATTGTCCCCCCAAACACTTACCAGGCATCATCTTGGTTTGAAGGATCCTGGCTGCTGGCTTCGGTTTCGAAAAGAATGCAGGACACGAGCCTGCGGCCGATGAAAAGATTGGCGCAAAGCAAGCTCAATTTCAGCACCACCACCTGAAAAAGTGCGACGCAGGCCAAATGCAAGCTACAAAGTACACAAGCAACCCACCGGGCTCGGAAAATTATGTTTCTTGGACATGAGGAATGCTCTGCAGGCCGGGCAGATTCAAACTTGTGTGTTTGTGTTCGTTTTAATATATATATATATATAATTATATATAGTTATATCACATCTTTGTTCTTAAAGTCCTGTGAAAACAGTTGCGCATGTTGATTAAAGTGGTCCCAACCCCGGCGTGGTGCATTTTGAGCACGACCTTGTTACTTCCCGTGCGTCGGTGGTTCTACGCAGCACGATCCGCTCTCGATGGAATCCACAAAGTACTCCAAGGTCTGAAGGACCGATGGTGCACCAAGTACGATTTCCCTAGTAGCGTCCTTGCTCCTAGTAGTACGGCCAGGAGCCCCTAGTAGCTTCTTGTTCCTAATAGCGATGCCAGGAGCCCCTAGTAGCGTCCTTGCTACTAGTAGTATCCATGATGCACCAAGTACGATTTCCAAGAGTCAAGCAGTAACGGAGCTACTAGTAGCGTCCTCACTCCTAGTAGCGATGCCCTTTGTTACTAGTAGCGATGCCAGGAGCTACTAGTAGCGTCCTTGCTGAGAAAAGTCAACAAGTCGAAACATAAAGGATCATAAAGGTAAGCTGCTAAGCTACAGTTCAACAAGGCAACTGGCTAGATGAAAGAAATACTCTGGTCACACACTCTGGGCCCACAACCGGGTGCAAATGTCAACCTTTGTCTACAAAAAGGGGATCGTTCCGCAAAAACAAGGATTCTGTCTGGGGGGGACACTTCACACTACCCAATCCTAACAAAAGAACCGCCTATGACAATGACAACACAAACAATACCGTCGAAGGTGGCCCCCGTCATTTCCCGAAAACCAAACAGCATTCACGAACATGATCCCAGCACCAGGGCTTACCCGAGCATTAGGCAGGGAGAGCTTCCTTGAAGAAGCCCGAGTTAATGATGTGGTTCCTAGATTCTCTAGAAAACTTATCTAGCGCCCTGCAGCATCCTACCTCCTCCAGCTAGCTGAGCATTGAATCATTGGCGCCTGTCAAAAGGATTTGCAAAAGAGCTGGGTAAGGGAACGGTAAAGAACCTTGCCTTGTCTTTTTTCTCTTTGAGAGGGGGTGAGGGTGTAGGAGGAGGGTAGGAGACACAGGGTAGGTAGCAGGTAGATAGCTCGTAGCAAGAAGTCAGTTACACCGTATATAACAGGAAGCTATTAGTAGCACGGGCGCTGAAGGGCTCGGGTTTGCATGTCCGAAACTGCTCCTAATTAGATTCTCAGGGAATTTCTGCAAATGCATTGTAGAATCTCCCTTGTACTTGTTACATTGTTTGTCCCTGACCAGAATCTCTTGGGTCTCAAAGATTGTTGATCATAGTAGTATGTAGTTGGACCACGACCCCTGCCGCACCGTGTGTCTTTTTTCACGTGTTTACTTTATTGTTGTTTTCACGCATGTTGTCTGTCTTCTGGGCGGGTGCTCATCGGTCCCTTGCTTTTCTTGCTACCACTCCTACGCTATGCTGCCTCCTTCGGGTGGGGTGGGATGGATTGGGATGTTAACATTCGCCATCCTTCTCCTCTAAGTGCCCGTTGCACAATACGTTTCATACTTCTGGCCTACCACTTCTACGCTACGCCCCCTGCCAAATTCTACGCTACCCTTCATACTTCGACATACTTCGACCACTCCTACCAAAAGTAGAAACAATTTCTACTGTGGCTGGCACGCAGATTGCGGATCGTGGGTGGCAAAGTCTGAATAGATTTATTCCACGTTGATCCGTAAGTTGGTGATGCAGTTCAGTGCATGTGGCAAAGATTCTTGCACCATGCAGGCCAAACGAGCTGTTGGCTGAGCTTGGCAAGGTGGAAAAGAAGAACCGCTGAAAGAGAAGAGGAAAAAGAAATGCTTCATGCACTTGCAAGCCAAAATGTTTCATAAATTTGAAACGAATAGTTTCAAGCAGGGGCCACAGCGAAATACGGGTCAGGAACCATGTAACTGTATAGTTAGGCTGTTGCTATTGTTTGCTTGGGATTCGTCTGCACCACACTGATTTACGTCGTGGCTTTTGTCAAAGTGTGATGCAACCAACAAATCACAGCTCTACTGTACCGGGAAAGCTCCATGTCCATGACCCTCGTCAAGAATGCCAAGTCTTTTCTGCGAAGCGTGAATCGTCCCTCAGGGCACTTAACAGCACTGCCAGTGGCAGTCGAAACGAATAATGCTGTTGAAATTTGAAATCGTTAGCTGAGCTTCACGACAAATCCATTCTGGATACCGCCAAGCAAGCGTGAAACGGTCGGGGACTTGTGCTACCCAAACCTATACTTAAACATCTTGAACTATCTGATCGTGCATAACCTCATGCTTTGGAGGACATGCTCCCACTTCCAGTACGCATGGTAAGTTTGTTGCCAGGTTGGAACTTGGCACGACGGTACTCGATAAAATCATCCTGGCAAAGGCAAGAAGACGCAGATGTCGTGGGCAGTGGAACCATAGACGTGCCGCCTAGGACTCAAACGATACCAACGTCCTTGGGGTTCATGAAGATCCGAGTGTCTGGTCCGGCGCCTTAGCTTTGCTTGACCAGTCAACCGATTCCAGCATACTGACTGGTATTCAATGGTATTAATCAAATGAAGACAAGCCCTCATTCATCCTGAATGGAGTATTGAAACACGCCTTTGTGCCAACGGTACTGATGCCGAAGCTCCACCACCTGCACCAGCAAGCCACTGAGGACTCGATAACCTTTCCGATGAGAAACATATTTGGAAAAGAACGTCTTTCGTCGACAAACTAGTAATATACCTGTTGCATCCTGTTGCAAAGCAATCGCAAGCTTGTAAGACTTGTAAACCTGTTTGTCGAAGATCTCCAACTGTCGGTTTAAAGTCAATCCGAGCGTCTCCTGGGCAATTTAACCCCTCCATTCCAAGTTCGAAACAACCTTGAACGACCTTGCAATAGAGTGTCTCCCACTAGCCATGACGAATGTGTGAGGTTCTGTTGTGTTTGGTCTTTGGTGTTCTTGGTTCACTTAACGGCTGGCACCCTTTGCCTCTGGATGGATCTGGTACTCTGGATTTGTTGATGCCCAAAGCCACCAGGACAGCTCTCGATATTTCGAAGGAAGGAGAGGAGCAGTGCTGGTGTCCGTGGGCCAGCTAGGTGGGTCCTTCGGTAGGACACCCCCAACCTGCAGAGGCCAAGATCCGCACACAACGGGCACAGCAACTCTTTCGTCAAATCATGTGTGCGCCTTGTCACAGGCTTTGCTTGTCAGAAAAGGATGATATTCCATGATCATGCATGATCGATATTTGCACCCGCGAGAGTTAGGCAGAGTCTTCTGAGTCTTGTGTAAGGTCGCGGCGCCACGTCTGTATTGAATTTTTCGAGTAAACTCTCCATGTTTCCTGAACACGTCCAGGCTGTTCGAATTGAAAGACCAGAACATGTTTGCTACTAGGAACAAGGGCATCGCTACTAGTAACAAAGGGCATTACTACTAGTAGCAAATAGCTACTAGGAACAAGAAGTAGAGCCAAGCTTGTTCACCATGGCCAAGCTGCACTGCGAAAGGTGGTGAATCCAAAGACAGAGACGACCTGCTCAGAGTGGGTCGTGTGCCTTGCAAGGCTCAGGGGAAGGATGCGAGATCGAAATTGCTTTGTTCTTGCAGCATGATTGGCATCCTTATTCACAATAGACTCTAGACCTATTCAAGACCAACAAGTGACATTGCTGGACTTCTTGGAAAATGACAAGTGTGACTCTGCTGAAAGATTGCTGGTGTCCATGGGAAGCAAATATGCAAGCTCAAGAGTAAAAAATTGTATAAAGGCGGGACATAATTAAGGAAAAACAAATTCCGCATATGACGAACACCAAGCCATCAAATGTTAACAAGCAAAGGAGGGGAGGGAACAAAATGCCTTTGCCTGACGCAGAATGCTTTCATAAGGTGCTCGACAAAGAACACGGAGCCACTAGAAATGCACAAAGGTCACCAAAGCTGACCAAACACACTATTTGACGCGTAGTTTTGGAGCTCCAATTTCATGCCAAAGCAGCAAATGCAATCGCAAAGGTTTCACTGAGGCACTCTTCTGCATAATGGCTTTCCACGTTCTTTACAAGTCTCAGTGAGGTTGCAGCATACGCCGGAGAAATACAATGGAACATGCAGAAAGAAAGAGAGAGAGAGAGAGAGCGCGCGCGCTCCTGTGCAGAGGGCAGGGAGACGTGAGATGATGGTGATGAGCACCTTATAACGACCAGTACACAACAGGCCTTAGCACTTACAGTTACAGTTACTGTAATACAGTATACTGTAATTACATAGAAAAGGCACCTGCAAAGCAGGCCATGGCTTTGGTTTCAATTCCAGAAGCAAGGAACCTCCCCTCAACAACAACAACAACAACAACAACAACAACAACAACAGCTGTGCATGTGTCCTATCGGTATTGAAGACAAGGAATGGCAAGCACGCCACCCCCCACAGGTTCACCTCCACCTGTAAGCGCGACAAATAATGAGATCCAACCGCAAAAGCAGCCTTGCCTTGTGCATCTCGAACAGGCTGCAGTTCCAAGCATTCGCGAACAAAAGAGCTAGGAGATTCTTGGACTGTCAGGGACTTCTTGGACAGGACCTGCCACGTGATGATTTGCGATCGACGCTTCTCCCAGTCCAAACTTCATCGGAACAGGCAAAACAAAGCAAAGCAACGAAAAAGCCAGGATGACACTTTTCAGCTCTTCGGCTATCAGACCACGGACTGTGCCGCGCAGGCCGTTTGAAGAACCTAGCCAAGGGGATCTGGAAGGAGATCTGGGGACTCGCAAACACTCATCTTGACCTTGTAATATCAGCACTCATACTTTCGGCACCTGACTAATTGACCCACGCCTCTGCTCGGCAGTTCTGACGATATCCGAGAGAGTTCATCTCGTATAACCTCCTACAAGTAGATACTAGACACTCGCAGCAAGTCCAAGTGGAATTTAGTTACGATCGACGCTCGAAAACGAAAGCGTTGAGTCCTGCCGCTCAGAGTCCCTGGTCTTCGTCCGGGTCCTTGCGAAAGACAAATGCTAAAGCCAGACGTGGAAGCGTGCTGCTTGGAATCAATAAGACACTCCCCACACGTACTCGTTGGTTGAAGTCGCCCCAAGTATCCCAGCAGTTGCATTGCATGTGATGTGCAAGGGCACTGGCCGGTTGCTCAGCGTGCTGCTTGGGGGGCAAGATCCATTTTTGGGATTACCTGATGAAACCTCGCGCTGCGGCTGGACAGGTCCCAAACTCACATCTAGTGACCGGGCCTTGGCACCTTGGAGTGACTTGGCGAGCGCCAAGACACAGACACGAGACGATTTTGTCACGTTGCGGAAAGCTCTCTTCAAGTGGCCTCCTCAAGAGTTCTCAACTATCTGGAAGCGCTCTGTACGCGTGCGATTTCTGAATGTGCTTTGCAAGTCAGGCTCTGCCCAAGTTGTGTGCATACAAAGTGACCCCGAGGCTGAGCTCGATCTATATAGCTCACAAACACACCCAGGCATTGTAGGAGTGGTTGGTGTGCAAAGTCTTACAAGCAATGCAAGGTGTTGTGGGGTCACTTGGCGTTCCACTGAGTCTATCAACAAGCAAGTCTTGGAACGCAAGTCTTCCTTGTAAGTGCTGGCAAGACTCTGGTCAGCCGTCGCATTCACTGCAACACTGTCGCGAGACGACATGCTACCAAGATTAAGAAATAACAAGTGTTCTGCTTAGCTGGTAAGTAATCACTCGCAACCGTTTGATGACCGTTAGATGTTCTCACTTTCTGGGACTCATCCCTGCCAAATGCAAGCAAATAAACGCTTGGAGCTCAGTGCTGCAGGCTTCCAACAATCTATGCAAGTCTCTTGAGGTTCTGTCTCAGGCAATGAATATGGTGGTGGTCGACACAGGCAGGCCCAGAACTTATCATTTTTGAGGACTTGCCTCAGCAAACACGGTGTCAAAGCACGTCATAGCGCCTGTCTTCTTTGATTTGCTTTGGGAGCCTTGTCCAGCTCAGGGCTGCATGATTCGTGTTTGAGTATTGACCTCGTCATATCTCCAAACAGAATCACCAGTCACTTTGTCAATCCCTGCCACAGCAATGTAGCCAAGGTTCATTAAACATATCACCCAAACTACATATAACCACTACATATAACCATGCTGCAGCAGCGCTGGTCAACATCTATACAGCCAGCAGCGCCTAGTGCAAAAAGTGCACTGAGGGGTCATAGCAATCACTTTGCGCGGATTGGCACCGTGGGCCAGAACCTTACAGGAGTGGAGCACGAGGATGAGTCTTCTCCGACTCCGATATGTATATATATATAATATATATATATATGTATAAATATACTCGCAAAATTAAAGAAGTCTGGAAACCGTTTTGTGCAGCAGTTGTGGTACTCTTGCGAGCTTCTTTTTCACAATCAATTGCTCCGAGTCAAGGAAAGAAACTATTGCCACTATGTACAGTGCTCCACGTGGGTAGCGGACTGCGGACCAAAGCAGGAAGCGTCAAACATGCCCGCCGCAGAATTAAGGCTGCCAGAAATTAGGCATTTGCCATGGAAGATGAACATTCAAATCCTAAGCTTGATATGTGCGAGGAGCGCCTGCTGTGAAGCAGCTTGGCTGTCATAGCAGTCATAGCAAGTCTGCTAGGCGAGGGCTGCCAACAAGTTCTTGCGGGCGAGATCCAGAATATCCAGGCGTCAAGAGTTTCAGCTGGAGTTTGGGCACTTTCAACCTCACTATAAGGGTTTCTGTTTGACGTCTCTAAACCAAGTGTCACAAGCAGGCTTTGGGGCGCAAAGTGTCAATGCGTTCTTCCGAGATTCAGGCACTTCTGCAGCCTTCTGTCGAAGCTCATCGCATGTGGACTCTGGAGTGGTCAGCAGGGACATCAGTTCATTTCCTGACCAAACACTGAAGGATTAATACGCCCCTGTTCAAACTATAAAGTGGACAACTCTGGCCTGCCATGCTCACACAACTGACTCGCAGTCCGTCACAACCTGCTTCACACTGCCGTGCGTTGCGTTACAAAGATCTTGCATACAGAACACAGTTGGGCATTATGTTTGTTTTTCGCGGTGTTCAACGAACCCGAAAAAAGCTCAAAAACTGTTGGTTTAAAAAGGAAACAGCTTTGGGTAGGAAGCTCCAAAACCACTTATCATCCACAAATGCACACAACTTGGCGAAGGAGTTTATTACGCTGCGTGGCGAAAACTACAAAATGCCGGCAGGTGTTCTGCGCACATGCTTCGAGAGGCGCACACACACACTTGCTTAGATCCATGCTCGCAAGAACTGAATCAGTTTGGAGTTTCCAGCATTACTGCAAGTAGACCTTTACACGCAGTTCGACCTTGACTTGATTCAACGGTATGAAGTGCTGGGTCGGTCGAACAGAAGGTTTCAACGAAACGCATTAGCCCTTTGAAGAAAAGTAGAATGGACAGCTTGGTCAACATCCAGCTGCGTCTTAACTGCGCCCAGGAGTGACAAAAGCAGGTACGTTCTCAGCACCACACCACCAGGCTCTTCGTTGTGGTGGGTGGAGTGGCCCCCTGCTGAACTGTACACATGTGGTAACTCCAGCGTTACTGCAAGTAGACCATTACTGTAAGTAGACCTTGACTTGGCTCAACGGTATGGAGTGCTGGGTCGGTCGAACAGAAGGTTTCAACAAGCCCACTGTGGTGTGCTGTGTGATCCCTTCGGGGCGCGTTGAGCATAGACCCTCAAGTGGGATTTGTCACTGATCATTTGTTCTGCGCGAAACCCCACTGCTCAGCTGCTTGCTCGAGATAGCCGATATGACGCTGCAGAGCCTACTGATAATCCCTCCAAGAAAGACATACCACGCGGCTAAGTATTCACTCATGCCATGCTCACACTAATGATTTGGTTTCTAGATTTTCAGGGAAACTTAACATGTCTTCTTCAGGGAACCTTTTCTTTTGGATTCGTGGTTTACAGCACCTCGTGTGCTTGGGCTCGCGTGTTAAGGTAACTTGCAAAACGTCGCAAGTTAACTAAGTTTGGTCTCCATTTGGCAAGTTCCTACAGCACTTGAATTTGGGCAGTGGTTAGGTCAGGCTTGCTGGGCTTCCTGATTATTCAGCTTCATATTGCTTAGCCCAGTACGTTTGTAGAGCCTTTCCTAGCTGCCCTTAACAAATGGCTGCAGAAGCAGGTCGGATGTGTAGCCAAGCTGGGAGGCCCGATCCAACTTTTTAACCCTGTGAAGTGCCGTTGACAAAGTGATAAAGGCGTTGAATAGCAAGAGAAATTACAATAGTTGCTGAATCACTGAGCATATGGGCGCAATCAAATAATGTGTTTGGTTTTGACTAGCTGTGTTCAGTTCGGTTGGTCTGGTTTCTCCACCAGTCAAACCAGTGACAAATGAAGAACTTACACATCGCCTGTTAAGCCGGATAGGCGTGCCTTTCATCAGAAATCGCAAACGTGTAGCGCGTCGGGACGAACAGCGGAAGCGTGCCCCAAACGCTGAGAAGAAACCAAGCAGCCATCACACGCTAAGAACCCACGAAAAGCAAAACAGCGACCAAAGCCATCACAAACCACAAAACCCAACAGAGACTACAAAAGAAAGACGCGCGTAGAGTTCCTGACAAGCAGGGCACTGAAGCGAACAAATGATCATATTGGAAACAAAATGCCATCTTGGAGCGCGTAGGCTAGACCTGACTCCTGCCAAAATTTTGTGAGTGTGTAGCATGGAGTAGAAGAAAAACAGCCTTCTGTTGCTATAAAATCACGATTGGAATGGATCGCTGTGGCCCAAGGTGGTCCTGGGCTACTGACAACTGCTTTTAGTCAGGTTGCGGCTTTGCCAGGTTCAAATCCACGCAACTTAAGGTTCTGCTGTGGGCTGTTCAGGCTACCCTGCAGCATCTGCAGGTGGTACCTTGCTAGTTTCTGAACACTTCAAAAAGTTCAAGGGCGAGTCATGATCTCAGATCTAGCAACCCCAAAGTCCTGCGGACGGCATTAAGACCAGTAAGCCTGTTGTCAAAACATTAGGGGCCACTTGTTGCAACAACTTTCGGCCTGAGCCCCTGGCAGCCCTGCTCTCTTCTGCAGGTCACAACAAGGCGGGGCAACTCTTCCAAAAGCCTCCAGCGGAAACACTCACTGGCAGAGAGTCTGGCAGTGAGTTTTGGCTGGTGTGTGTGTGTCTTTAATTTGACACCTTTTGGTACATGATTATACACACATATATACACATATAAGTACACCTGCATCACAAACAACATTCAAACTCCGCTTCGCTGCGTGCTCTTTCTTTTCCCAGCTCAAACCCTGTGGTCTCAACGCTGTTCCCAGCGATTGGGCGTTGGTATGCTCCCGTCACACAAGAGCCCCTCTGCCAAAAGGTATGGGCACCAAGTTCCCGAACATGGGCAACAAGCGCAAAGCATTCCTTGATGCCAAGACACCTCAAATAGCGGGACACATCGTGGGGGGCCCGCTATAAGGGTGGGTTGGGTGGGAACAGAAACTCCACTGTCCGTTTTGGCTTTTATGTACTGCGCAGATGTATGTTGTGATGGCACACAAGCCTGCCCTAGACTCATCACTATCATACACCACAAACAACACTCAAATGCTACTCTGCTTCGCTGCGTGCTCTCTTTTCTCTTTCCAACTCAAACCCTGTGGTCTCAACGCTGTCCCCATTAATTAGGGGTTGGAGCCTTCATTTGGCCACTCCCTCTGCCAAGAGGTATGTACGCCAAGCTTGCTCCGGATGCATATTTTCCGCAACACGTGAAGCCAGGCGCGCGCTACGAAGGCCCCTCGGCAACCTACTGGCGAAGCAGCTAGGTGCGAAGGGAGCATCCCATTGCGACGGACGACGAAGCAAAACAGAATCCACAACACGCAAAGTGCGCGCAAGGCTTTCAAATACCGGGTCAGACCTGACCCTGCGCTATGCCTCTCTCAGCTACATTGTATTGAAGTGGTACAACATGAGTTCCCTTGCCAAAGATTGAATTCGTGGCTTTCAACGGTAGGTTTGGAGAAAACCAGAGCTAGGGAGGACCACCTTGCAGTTGCTGGCCACGCTGCGAAGCAGCCTTGGAGTTCCACCGGGTACGCAGTTAAAAGGACAGAGCGCCATCGGCCATCAGTACGCGTTATTGCCGTAGGGAGGGGTGCTTCAAATACCACACACAATGGACAGCGTCCCATTGCGCAACGCCGGCGCAACGCAAGTAGATGCACACAAGGCGCGCCGGGCTCAGCAACCTCGCGCCCCGCGCCGGCCCAGGTCTACAAACGAGGCTCCGTGCAGCGTGCAGCTTTGGGTAAGTTACATATTCCTGAACATGGGACAGCATTCAATTCAAGAAGCAAGGGTTGCTTGCGCATTGTTCAGATCATTTGCGATTGTTGTGGTGGAACATGAACTTGACAAGCAGCAGCACAGGTTTCGCGCGCACTTGTCTGCACACCCGCCGCAAAACGACACGGAAACCTTCTCAACGAGACGCTGTCCAAATACGACGCGAGCCTGCACTTCTGTGGGAAGATGGACAACACCCTAAAGCTACGGGCAAGAAAGCTGTCCACTCGTGCCACCGAACATGCGAGGCAAACCCGATGTAGCTCCTCCAGAAGCACATCTCGCAATAAACGGCCTACGGAGTAGAACCGACTTTTCGGTCAGCGCGACGCCAAATAGCAGGGGTCGATGGAAATTACAAACCCACTTCTCAGGGGCACCCTGCGTTGGCTCCAAAGGGAGCTCAAAAGAAACACAAAATAGGGCACTTCTTTGTACACTACCGACTAGCGATGCCCTGGATCAACCGTGTGGCTCCAGCCCAGATAGCGACAAATGCCTCCAAAGATGCAGGGACCGATGCCGATCGGCGGCACCCTTCTTCTTGCACACCACCGGCTCTTCTGACTTGTCGCCACCCGCAGCAGCGACAAAGTCCATCAGATCTTCTTGGCCACTTTTCTCGTCTCTTGTCACATGATCTGAGCTGCTAGAACGAGTTGCTGCTCTGGCGTTAGCTTCCGAAAGTTGCCGCCACACGCGAATGCAGCAAAATCGAGGCATGGCACGATGATGGATTGAAAGTGTCAGCAGCTCATGCTTTGCGGTGGCTTGTTAGCTTGTTGGAGCTGAGCAGGTGTTGTCGACCTCTGGTCACGCCATGCTTGACCACGCGTCGAAAGTAGAGACATTCTGAGACTGAGACAAATCCTTTTTACGCAGCCTGTCTGTGGCCAGGTTTGTTGGTTCCTCTGCGGGGGTGGATTGCGAATCATCGCCAGTCCTGTGCTGCGCTGGAACCGAGAATTGCGGCTGAAGGGCTTTTCTTCGACTCTCTACATCTGGGTTCTAAATCTGTGTAACTCACGCGTCTCTCAGTCTCTCCATACCTGCATTGACAATTCATCTCAAGCAGCCTCGCCAGGTCCAATCTAAATAAAACGCTCGCCAGATCTAATCTGCTTTGTCACAGGTCCCAACACAAACTCCTCCTTAAGGTCTGGCAAAACTTGTTGCTCAACAACACCGTGCTGCACGCTGCCTTCCTGTCAACTTCCACAAAGCAAACCATTAGCGCACTTTCGACTACATCCTGCAAGACATCGCTATTTACCATGTTTTAGCCTCTTTCCCGCATGGCTTGACTCGACGAACCAACACATTTGCCAAAGCATTTCAAAAAAACACCAGTGGCCAGCTGATGATGGAAAGATGCTAGTCTAAACTGTTGTTGCATTCAGGAAGGCAGTCGTGAGGGCACAATTTGGCCACATTTCGCTTTCCAAAAGTCCCCACAGCAAGTTTCGCATGCAGTGGCTGTCTTCTTATATCACCGTTTCCTGCATTGCTTTTGCTGTCTGATGAGGTGTCCCGATCCCCTTGCGCCTGGCCCAAACTTTCTGCGCAAGCTCTGACACCTGGTGAACCTGTCGGCTGGCGCCAGCTCTTCCATAATACAAAACAGCTTTACCAAATTAAGTTCAATACCTCATCTCCACATCGATCCTGGATGGCCTGACATAAAGAAGCATAACGTGCTCAAAAATGAGAAACTCCAAAGCAATGCTCAGCTCCTCTGCATAGTGACTCAGCTTCAATGGCTCTAACCTGGCAAAACTCGTTGATGAAAGAGGACTTGCATAAAAGCATCAGTGCAAACCCTCTTTCCCCCTCTTTCAATGTGTGGGAAATCATGATCTTTACGTAACATGTGACACGTGTCCTTATTGAAACTTTACTTTACTTCAATCACATAATCAGACAGATTGCCTTTGTCTTTCAGCGTACTCTAAGTCTTTCTTGCTCGAGCCTGGCAAGTGCACTCAGGGCAGCAAGCCGCACGTTCCAGTCCTGCTGGCACAACACCATGTCAGACGATTAGTCTTTTCGCGCTGAAGTTGGCCCTTTTGCAACTCTGAAACCTGCCACTGAGTGGAGCGAACAAAGAAACAAAAATAAGTTCTTGAGCGTGTAGTCCTCATCCGCAAGCAGACGACTCAGGATTGCTGCATGCTTCTCGAGGATCTCTGGCTGCAATCGCTTCATTGTTCTGATGGCCTAGGGAGCATCGACGTTCATGAAGAAGACACATCTCAACATCTGGGTTCGGATGACTTGAACTTATATAGAACTATTGACAGTTGACTTCTGGAAGCTATGCGCACTTAGGCACAGCTAAGTGCAAGTTACTAACTTCAAGTCTGGAGTGCAAGTTACTAAGGCTTAGCTAACCAGGCCAAGAGGCCTCGTAGCACACATCATCATCAGTATCCCTAAGCCTCTCCGCGACAACGTTTGAATGCATTGCAAGGTCCTCGAAAGCTCTCTGATGTAGAGCTATGTCAAACGCTGGAAACATTCCAGACAGACTGGTATGGGAATTCGGAAGGCATGTTAGTCTGTTGATGTGCTGTCAACCGATCTGAGTCCTGAGGGTCCATCACTGCCATTGCCTTCGATTGCAAGACATGCAGAGATTTTGTGGAGCATTGAGACTTGACACCATCAAGAAACCTTGGATAGACCCAGACTTGGCAAACCCACCTCCAACGCCAGCTTTCTCATCCAAGGATAACGGCTCCGAGAGAATCCTGCCGACTAAATAGCTTTAGAAAAAACAATGTCAAAATGTGATGTTTTTAATGTTCGCTTTGTTTTGCATCTGTGCTTTTGTTTAAGTATGAAAATGTATCCAGCTTCCACGATGTCAGGTCTACCACATCCGCTCACCCACTCAGATTCACTTTCTCTGCTTCTTTTTCTGTTGGTCGCTGCAGAGGATGCGATGGCACACATGCGTCACCCGCTTTTAGCGGACACCTTGCAGTCTTCTCTGAGTGCTCTATAGCTATGGAGTGTAAGGTCTCACTGAGCAAGACGGGAAAGTCTCCAAATCTGAATTTAAAAGATTCTCCAGGCAAGGCCTCATATCCAACGGAACAAGTGTTCACATTCTCAGATTCAAATTGGAACCACATTAGGCGCGCCCTCCGATGTGCATACCTTAGCTGCAAAGTTCTCAACAACAACAACAACAACAACAACAGCAATAATGCTGCTGCCTCCATTCAATGAGCTTGAGTCAAAGCCGTTTTTTGTTTCTTCGACTGAAATGCATGAACCCATCCACGGGGATAGATTGCGAGCCAAACGGGTTCTCCTTTTTCAGGCCTCTGCAGTATGGCTCTGAATATGTCTCCTAACTGGCAAAAGTGGAACTGTTGAAACCAGATTCAAAAGCCAGTTGAAGTGTATTTTATTGTTAAGTTTCCCTAAAAATCTAGAAATCAAATCATTAGTGCGAGCGCTTCTTCAAGGAAGCTTCCCCCGCCGCCTTTAGGGCGGGGAGCTTCCTTGAAGAAGCGTGAGCTATTCTGCGTCCAAGGTAGTAGCTACTTGTAGGTAGTAGCTACCTCTTCTACTAGAGCTGCTACCTACCTCTAGCGGCCTACCCCCCCAAAAAAAAGAGAATACACATATATATGTAAATATGTTTTTGTATATATATATATATTTGTATATATGGATACATTTCAAAAAAGTGACTTAAGAACCTTAGAGCAGGTCGCAAAGTCGGCAAGGCCATCACAAAGTGTCTTGGCCGTCCTGCTTTCAAACTCCTCAACGGTCTCAAGCCGTCAACCGACTTCTCAAACCAGCGTGGCCAAATCGCAGTCGGCCTGAAGGCTGTTGGAAAACTATTCAAAAGCCAGTTCCACTGAAACAAGACTCATCGGCTCATAGGTCTTCCACATTTTTTAAAAGCCCGCTCCTACTTAATTAAAAAAGGGAGACTAGTTAGCTTCCAGTAACTGTTCGCTTCTAGCTGGATAGCTCACGCTTCTTCAAGAATCTCCCCCCCGCCTGAGGGCGGGGGCACCTTCTTTGAAGAAGCGCTCGCACTAATGAGATTTGGTTCCTAGATTGTTTGGGAATCTAAACTTAAGAGTGGAAGAAAAGACTCAATGTTCCTTGCCAGTGTGCAACTCCAATCCAATTTGGCCGGGTCGCTTTACAGTTTTCCATCTACCAGAGTGCCCAAGATTGTTGGCATGTTTAGCTCCAGCTCCCGGATGTACAGCCTGACTCCAAGAATAATATTCAATCAGTTTGTCTGCCGTGATCATTCCAAAACAGCATCTTGACTATCTGGCTTTGACCTCTAAAACAACATTCTGAGGAAATGACGGCATTTCCTGGACCATCTGGATCTCTGCGTGGGCGCTTGTGAAGCTCTGGAGCTGCCTCAGCCTGCATTCATTGCACGCAAAGACCTACAGTATAGTATTAGCCTACGCTTAGCCCATGTTTACGGTGCCTATGTGTTTAAAGTGCTCTGCTCCAAAAGGTATCGCAAGGTAGAATTACAATTCCAGACAAATGAAGCGTGCCAGCCGGAAAGTCGGTCTCGCATGACATAACCTACTAGCAATGGCCTCTAACCTAATAGCAGTGGCCTCCAACCTACAAGTGATGGCCTCCAACCAAAATAGCAATGGCCTCCAACCTACAAGCGATGGCCTCCAACCTAATAGCAATGGCCTCCAA